CTGCGAAGGACCTGGTCCCCATCAAAAGTTCACATTCAGGCAGGACTTTTGCGAGTTACGGGAACACACAAAATGTTTTTATCCATTCACACCACCTGCTCCTGAACTGCCAGTGTGCAAACGGCAGCTTCAGCAAAGGGGCAGCTCCCATCGGCTCCAAGAGCAGCAGCAACACCAACCGACTTCAGTGCAGCGGCTCCAGAGCTGCGTAGGTGTTGGCCGACACTCGAGACTAGAACCGAACAGAAAAACATTCATGGATACAGAGTACAGCACAGCTGAGCCTGTCAGCCTTAGCCCAGAGCAAACAGCTCACTGGCTTGGGCGCTCATGGAGGAGGTCGGTATTGTGTGTCCACAGAAAAATAATAATAAAATAATGATCACACACCCTCGGCGCAGTTTGGAAAGGACAATTCTCCCACGCTCAAGACAAACGGGATGCATACAGGGCTGGGTCAGCATCTCCCTCCTGCTCTCCGCACCAAAGATCAAACAAGGTGGACAAGGGAGAAAGAATCTTCCAGCGTTTTCTCAGCAAACTCTGAGCCAACAGCCGGGCTCGAGGCCCTGCTCCAGCATTTGGGGAACTGCTCCCATTTCCTTTCCCCTTTGCATTTCAGCCAAAAGAACAAAGCCCCCTCCTGAATAATGCAATAGGCTGATGGCTCAGGATGCTTCAGACACGGAGTGAAAGGCAGGAGCCCCGAGTTCAAGTCCTTGACTGGAGTCAGGCAGAGTACAAACACCCAATTCTGACTGCTTATTTCCTACACACAACACACAGACATCTCTTCCGAGATTTCACTTTTCGACCTGCACCACCACCGAAGTAAACTTCACCTGCGATAACCAGCGGAGGTCTTGTTGGGTTTTCGGTGTAGGGTGTTTTTCCCCCTAAAGAATGGCCTTTTTCTCAGCAGGTGTTTGAAACAGAGCTCTGGTTCATACTGGTACAGCAGGAGCTGGGCAATTAGTGCACCCCGACACAGCTGCAATGAACAGTTTTATGAATTATGTATGTGCTAGAATTAGCTCATTAAAGAACTCCTGTGTGCATATGCACATGGTAATTCAGTTGTTGCAGCTATTTGCATTGCTCTCGGGTACCCTGCAGACGCTGCAACAGAGCACGGAACTTCCCAAGTCTGGCAAAGACGTTCAGAAAATGAGTGGGTGAAATGAGAGAAAGCATCAGGTGTGAAGGGTACCACGCTCCACGGTGCTGTCTGTAAGAAGAGATGAAAGCTCGCTACTGTGGAGTGTTTTACCTCAGTGAAGGAGTTACAAAAATCCCACCTTGCTCCTGTCCACAAACAGCAAAGCAAACTGTAAGTGCAAACGGAAGCATCCCAAGACCACAGCAGTACCAAGCCACATCAGTTCCTGATGGCTGCAGGGAGCAAGAGACCTCTGCTCACCAGGATGTGACAACGCAGGGAAGGACGAGACCCCAGAAGCAGACCTAGCTGCATTCATTTCCTTTTCCAGCTACCAAGTGATATGGCTTATAAATGATTACGACTGAGTCTAGAGATTGGGACTGGGTTTCAATCACTAAGAAAGAGGTTCTCTTATAAAACCTGGGGGGGGAAAAAATCCCCTGTAACTTTTTGAGACAACAAGGTTTTGATTTAAGCTGTCCTCACCCATCACTCCAGCCGAGACGGGCTGGATTTCAGAACACACTGGTGCACCCATGGTCAAACCCCCGCGCTCTTCCCTCCTCAAGGCAGCTGCATCTTCCTGCTCGTGCTTTGTGTGCAAGAGCGAGCCGCTCCTCAGCAGCAAAGCACCATCTCCTCTCGCCCGGGAGGAGGCTCACCAGCTTCGGTCAGAGCTGGAAAACCCCAGGAGGACTCTGGGTGACAGATCTCCTTTCCTCTTGCGCGTCTGAATGTGGTTAATACTCCAGCCCAGAAAAGCCTTGCCTGCTTCAGAGAAGAAGTTTACTCTGTCTCTCTCAGTTTAATTAAGATGCCAAACAGGTTGGTTTGACATTAATGATTTGAACAGAGAAAGCTGAAATAAGCAAATACGTAGCTTGTGAGCTTATAGGAACATCAAAAAGCATTTCTTTAAAGATCAATCTTTCTCCGTCCAAAGTCAAGGAGACACAAGGGAGAGCTTTTCTTTCCCACTGACAAGTTTTTCTGGAGATGAACTGCACAGCCTGGCCTAGCAAAGTTCCTGCCGTAACAAGTAGCACGATCAGTAAATAGCGGCTGACTAACAAGGCGGTTCAATATTTACACAACCTTCTCGTTTCAAGTACGTGGCACGCTGTTAGAAAAGGCGACACTCTTCAGATAAACTGGTAAGACTTTCCACTGAACACCTTACTCTTTAAGAAACAGGGAGTGACAACCCCAGACTTACAGCAACACCCGCACGCAGCAGCCCAGGACAGCGAGCAACCTGGCGCAGGGAGGAGCGAGCAGACGCTCGGCGACAAAGCGAAGAGCAGCTCACTTCACTGCTGACACTTCAGAGCAGACGTGCTGCTGCTTGCTTGCCTTTCTGGGGGTTTTTCCAGTCTTTTCCAGGTAATGCAGCTGCCTGATGCTGGTGAGAAGGTGAACACACCGATTCAGAAGCTACAGCTCTTGTGTGCAGTGAAATTCCCTGCGAATGAAAGGGCTAAGGCTGCAGCCCACCTTCCTCCCCCAGCATGGGAGGCTGTCATTGGGAAACCACAGCAAACCTTTCTGTCCAGAACCTGCAGAGGAGCCTTAACACCAAACCTGTTTTGAAAACAACAGAACCAGAAAGTGAGACACAGAGCATTCGAGACATTGAGAAACGACGACCATGTCTAAGGAGAGCGGAGATGCTCATTCACCGGCAACACAGGCGTTCTTCAGAGCAGGGCAGCAGTGACAGCGGAGAAAGTGTTTCCAATATAAAGAACTTTAAAAAAAAGGAAAATAAAACAGAAAGTAGCTTTGACTCAAAGATTTGCTGATTTTGACTCAAGCTTTTGGCTAAAAGTCAGCATTTACCATGAAGTGTTTATACAACCAAGGAGAACACTCCTGTGGTGATACCGATTGCAGTGATCTAAAATACAAGTACAGAGCAATCTTTTCAATAAGGTAACAGTTTATCAACTTGTTCTTACTGCCACTCTCACTCGTGTTTTGAAAGCATCCCTTTCCCTTTTAGCCATCTCACACACTCCTTAAATACATCATAAACTTATTCCGAGTTCTCACGTAGCGAAGCTGCCCAGGCGTGGGCAAACAGCCCATAGCACACAGTAGTTGTAAGAAAACCTTTCAGCTCGTGTTCTCCAGTCTCCCTCCCGTACCTTTCCCTCCCAGCACCCCTTCTGAAGCGCCTGGTTGCTTTCATCATGTTTTAATAGGGCACCTTGCTTCTCTCCCCAGGTACCAGGTACTGCGCACATGAAATAACTCTTCTGAGACAAGTGCTCTACAGCAGTGCATGCTAAAGTGACACTGAAAGCAAAAGTCTCCAACTCCTTAAAATCATCTAGCCCTTCATCAGTACTGAGCCTGAAAGCCCCCGACAGTTACTGGGGTCAAAAGAAGCCTCTATTTCTGTCAAGGCACAAACACAGCTCTTGTGTCCTTTATGGGTGGTTTCTTTTCCCTTCACACACTGACTCCTCTTACCTTGTGCTAGGGAAGCAAGTGCAATTCTGCCAATTCCAGCGCTCCAGGGCCGAGAGCCCTCACCAGGCGCTCCATTAAAACCAGCGCCCAGGCAAGACAGGACCGTTCCCCTGAGCAGTTCCTCAGTTCAGGGCAGTCAACAGCCAGGGCTACGCTCCCGCTCAAGTTCCGATGGCCAGGCTTGGCACCCTGGTGTCCTCACATAGGGGGCATTTCCAGGAGGCTCTCCCAGACACACAGAGCTCTGCTGAACTCATCTGCCCTTCTGAGGTTTTAAGTATCTGCAGCACAGTGGTGGAAAACCAACCCTGCTCTCCAATGACAATTTGTAAGCTCCTATTTTGAGCTTCGGGCTAAGAAAGCTGCTAACAAAGCAGTTTTCAGACTTTACGTGAACACAATCAGTTACATTAGCCATCCCTCTGCTGTTTTCTCCTTGGCCTGCTGCCTCCCAAAGCTAAGCACATGGGAAGGCACAGTCAAGACACATCCCAACGCTCAGAGCTGTATTCTTAATGATAAGAATAATAAATCCGTATGCATGAAGCTCGCAGAAAGGCATGTTTCAGTGCCCAATTTTTAATAGCCCTTGGTTAGAGTGAGGCCTACAGCACAATACCCTCCTCTTGCCATACAATCGCATTTTACTGTGGTGATGACACTGTGTTACTCGGTTCTTAAAAAAAAAAAACCAACCCCACAAAATTGAATGTCACCATGGGAACAGTCTGAAGTTGATTTTGGAAAGAGACTCATTTCCTATAGCTTTTCTGTTGGCATAAAAATAACGTCACTGAACCGTACCAGAAGCAAGAGCTTTATGAAGTATCTTCTCTAAAGACACCAGTCAGCTCTGAAAATATCCTCCCTAATGGTGTCATTTCTTTAGTTTCTGAAGCAGAATAAAGGACCCGGAAAGGTTTCCTTCTCATTCTCCTCAACAAGAACCACACCCCAAGCTACCATCAGCGCGATCCAATTCAACCGTTCTTCAGCCTGCAATGCGCACCAAGTGTCAATACGGAAAACGTCCTTCTTAGAAGAACAATTACAACTTAAAGCAGTCATCCTGGCTGGCTGGCTGGACAAACGACACATGTTCACACAGGAATAATTCAGTCAACCGTCTTAATAAGGATTTACTTTAAACAGAACCTTGTATGGGTACACTAGACTCAGTCTCATTAGGAGCAAGTTGGATTTTTATACAGCATGAACCACTGGCAATCTAAAACAGACCCACTGGAGAATGGAATGGAGAATCAAACGCCACGTTTCAGACCCAAGCTCTATGTGCCTTTAATACTTTTTTCCTTTTTTTTTTTCTTTCCAGAGTGCACACTACAACAGACATTTGCATTTATCATGTTTTTAACTTCTTTTCTAAGGATGAACTCTCTGAATCTGCATCTTCCAACTCCGCTCTGTGTCTTTTCAGTCCTCCGAGAGGCTGGGCGCTCTCGCTGCCCGCGGGACGCGAGTCAGCCGTCTCCTCTCTGGTGCTCACAGTGTAGCTGTTGGAGTCCATTTCCGACAGGCAGCAGTCTTTGTGCAAGGTCACACCTGCCTGGACGAGGTCGCCGTTATCAGCGTTTGAGTGCGCCTGCCGTCCTTGCACCGTGGGCTCCTGCTCTCCAAAACTCTGTCCGTTGTTGAAGCACGAAGGGCGGAGGTGCAAGTGGCCGTTGTTGTGGTTAACACACGAGGTGTCGAGGCTCCTCTCCTCGCCGTCCTCGGTCTGGGATCTGGAGCAGTGACTTGACATGCTACAGATGGCAACAGAGGAGAACGGAGGAACCAGCGGGTGGTGGCTTGCTGCTGGCTGACAGTTCTGACTGTTTTTCTGCTCCACGAGTCCTGCAGTCTGAACGCAAGGTTCTTCAGTACAACTATTTAGCCCTTTGCAGTTAGCTTTCCCGTTGAGCTTTTTAGTCTCAAAAGAATGCTCTATACCTCCACCACTGGTGTCTTCAGGTGAGTTTTCTTGACCCTCCGTCTGCCGCTGATTGTCACATTCATGAGCTTGACCATTACTAGAATTTTCTATCGAGCCACAATCTTTTAAAGTTTCTTTGTTGTGGCTTTCAGTAGAAAGAGCTGGGGAACCTTGAGAAACTACTGAACTCAAGCTCCTAGCATCTTCCTTATTTAGTGAGTGTGCTGTACTGTGCCTTCCACTAGTTCCTGGGTTCCCTTCGTCATTCTCCCCATCTGCTCTGGAGGACTCACCATCTTTACTAGTTGAGTAGGATATGTAAGAATAATGAAGCCATTTGTAAGCTTTGTAAATCTTTCTCTCCACTGATTCACTGTCTGAACAAGAAGAAGGCCTTTCTTTGAGAACTTCTTTGTTGGCCAAGCTCCTTTCTGGCGAAGAAGCTGGGGAAGAAGAGAGATCATCTACTTTGATCTGGGGGTAATCATAGATATCCTCACCTATGTAGGGGGTCACGTTCTCCGTGTTAGCACTAGTCCTTTCCTCCTTTTGCACCTTCTGCCGGCGCCTCAGCGCGTTGCGTTGCCTCATAGACGTGCGTCGCTCATTCAGTTCCTCTTCATCTTCTGTGCTGCTGCTGCTGCTGGAACTGCTGGAGTCGTTCTCCTCAGGACTCGGGGACCGCGGCCGTGGGAAAAGGTCTGTCTCCAGTTCTGCCTCGCAGGTATTGTCATCAGAGTCAGACTCATTGGAAAGGGCCAGGAGACGCTTATCCTGATACTTTCTCAGTGCAGAGAGCCTCTGCTGACGGGAAGCCACGTCTTCTCTGGCCGAGGGGGATTCAGTCGATCTTAAGGCCCGTAAGTTGTAGGCAGTTTCATCAGACTCTTCAGCCACGTGCGGCGGGGAGTGATGCAGAGAGGCGGAGGACTCGGACTCGCTGTAAGCAGAGCGCTCACTGACTCCTGCGTGGAGCTGCAGGATTGTGCTCTCACTGAGGTCGCTGTCCGAGTCAGAGCTCCAGCCCTCGATCTCCCGGCGCACCAGGGAGTCAAAAAAGGCCATCATCCGTGGGTCTTCCTGCACTGACTGGTTGGCATAGTCGTGGGACAAACCACTACCACTGTTCAGCACAAGACTGATGTACTCCTCGTGAGTGTAGAGGCAACGGGAGTCATCCTCAATTCTGCCATCCAGATCCCCTGTGCAGTCCGGCTGTTTGTAAGGACTCCAGATCTGTAGCAGAAAATAAAACAAAAAAATACACATGGCTTTGAGTTCATAAACTTCTGTAAGCATTTTCAATAGAAAAGTAGTGCAAATACTAGGAACAATTGCAAGTTGCAGATCATTTTTATTGATTTTTACCCCTCAGACTAATACAAGTATTCCAGAGACATGGGTTTCCTTTCTCCCTCTTTACAAATGTGTTTTTCCTGCATCTACTTCACCCATCCAGAACTTAAAAGCTCTCACACTGCAGACTACCCATCATTTCAGTGTGCAATAATTTCTCCCAAATTGCAAGGCTCTATTTTTATGTAATAAGGGATGCTTACTTACTAAGGGTAAGAATAGTCTGTTGCCTACAATACAGTCTTGGCACTAATGAAGGCACTTGTTTCCCAGGAAACTAGAGCTGCTTGTGCCCGTGATGGAAAGTAACATCTCACCCAGCTGCACAGGCAGTCACACCTGAGCAGCAGGCAGGGAGCTGAGCGTATGCGGGTGACTGCGCCCTTTAGGGACCAGTCCTGAGGGAAAGCAAGCACCCAGCATCCTCTCAAGTCACTGCAGCAGTTTTAGGGAGAGGGAAAAGGGGACAGAGGCGAGTTTTACTGGAAGCTACTTTTCAAGTGGAGAGAGGGAGCAGCATTGCAAAGTGAAGTGATTTCATCAATAGCAGCAGCCTGGCCTGTGCTGTCTGTCCAGCCTTACCTCGGTTTTCCTGGTGTGGAGAGGGGGAAAGGACAAAAAAAAGGAAAAAAAAGCCTCAAAGATGATCCACCAATATCCTTAAGAAACTGGCAATCCATAGCAAACACAATGGTTGGATCTCCTCACCCTTTTCCTCAGTTTTACTCACAGATTCAGGGGTAATGTGATTAAGGCACTCACTGGACAACCACTGTCACTTCATTCTAGATCGATGGATCACACGATGCACAGCACCTCCTGTGAGCAGAGCTGTATGTATGCAGCTCATCCACAACACTGCCTTAACGTTCTGTGTATACAATATCTTGTTTCTGTCACGCTTTGGTTTAACACACTAACAAGATCAGGGAAAAAAAAATCTCCATACCCGCTGTCTGTACGAGGTTGGCTTTTTGGGACAGGCTTTGGCAAAACCATTTCTCTTTTCCCAACAGAAATCAGTCAAGTTTTGCTCCCAGTAGACAAAACCACTAACAAAAGGAGTGTTTTGCCTGTGCAAATGGGATAATCAGCACTCATCTCGCAGATGCGTGGTTAACACGTGCAACTTAATCTGATACTACCATGACAAGCACTGTAAAAAAGCCCACCAGAATGACAGCTCTGCTGTAGTCACAGATTTTCAACAGTGCACAGTAAGACCTCACATCTTTAATACTGGAAGTAAAACAAAATAAATTATCCTGCAGCTACTTATACAGCCCAGCCAAACTTAAGATATATACAGGTGACCTTTATTATGGCATTCTCTCAAACTTTGCATCCTCTGTAATTTGTAGTTTACAGTGCTTCCCCATATGATCTGGTCACACAGATAACAGAGACACTTTCAAAATTAAAATGGACTACAGGTACACCTCTCTCTGTATGGCAATCAAGCTGCCTTTCAGAGCAAAGGCAAAGGAGTTTTACATTGAATTACGTTGGCCTGTTCCTAGGAACGGGTCTCAGTATCGAGGTATATTCACTATGTGTACTTAATTGCTGGTTTTACTGTTTGCAGTACTAAAGCAAATTCTCTCCCAGTACAGTTCATGAATATAATATTTGAAACCAGAACAGACAGTCCCCATTGCTTGGTTCAAGCACTGCACTTACACACACAGCTCAAGGGACAAGCACCAGGCTTGGATCAAGTAACAAAACCCAACCTAAGCCCACTATGTGTAGACTTCCATCAACCATACTTCACCTTTCTGAATTACTCAAGATAACAGGAAGAATCTTTCTTCACCCTCAAGTTATTTCCCACGGTCACTTTCTAAAGACAAGGCAGGAACGAGTGCTCTCTCAGTAGATGCACGAGAGAGATTGTTGATTTGGGGATACACCAATTTCTTTTTAAAATAGAAATACAAACCTCCACTTGCTCAAAGGACTGTTCTGAGTTGCTGCCTTCTTGATTTAACGAGCATATGTTCGGTACCTTCTCACAATTTGTCACATCTTTTCCCCTCTTTGTCCCACTACGGAGCATTTCAGCAAGTAGATCAACTCTTTGTATTTAAGAGGCATACACCTTCTCATACTGTATGCCTGGACATGTAAATGGAGGAGAGGATTCTGCTCTGAAGTGTGAGGGCCTGCCAGCATCCCAGCAAGAAATCAGACCAAGGGTCTACCCTTGGCAGAACCAGGACATCTTTAAACTTGCAGCAACTGGTCCAGTGCTCCCTGTGACCACCGAAATGGGCTGCATTGTAAGCGCGATGGCTTTGCCTTGTTTTCATCCTCCGACTGATGCCGCGTCAAGGAAGAATGTGAGCAAACTGGAGAAAAGAAGTTGGCAAATCATCCCACAGAAGCAAGAACCTATCGAGTTCCTTCTGTCAGAGGATCCAGGAGCTGAACATTACTCACCGATGCCTTGAGTACGGGTACGAAAATAGGAACAACAGAAGAGTACAAAACTGGTTCTCTACTTCAGCACAGATGCTTCAGAGCATCTCTGAATTGCTTGTATTCCATGGTGGCAAAGCCCCAAATTTTAAAACAAAAAAGTAATTATGCCCATAGCATGAGAATAATTAAAAGCAGCTCCATTAGATGATCTGATTAGGCAGAGGCAGCTAGCCACAGCGACATTAATCTCTCACCATGGCAACATGGGCAAGCAGACTTTGCTATCTTTGATAGACTGATGGTTTTTAAACCAATAGGCCCAACCACAGCTGTGCTCAGAACCACAGCTACAGAGCATTCTAGTTCCAAAATAAACCAGGGTTTTATTCTGGAAATCCTAATGCACTTTACCCATTATCGTTTCTGGAGCTGTCTTGAACAGCATAATTCTCCATGGCCCTCCTCTAAGCCCCACACATCAGAGGGAACGTCTCATTTATTTCTCCTGCAATGCAATTCATTTTCCTGCCAGCGCATCCCAACGTCTCTCACACTTAACTGAGGAGAAAGTGGTATTTTTCTATTTTATATTGCTTGCTGCAAATGATAATTTTAGTTCACAGCTGTGCTTTTCCACACAGTTTTACTGAGGCTCTGGTTTCTGGAATGGAGGGCAATGAACAATTCATCTGCGTTGATGTCCAGCACACACTGCCTGGAGTCAAGGCTTTCAGCGTCCTTTATTTGTGAGCTTGTTGAGTCTAATTTCAGGTTTCTGAAACCTCCTCACTTGAATGTTCACTCCCACCCCCCCATCTTATCCATTGTATTCTGAGTCCTAGCAGAAATCAAGCCCTGAGCCACTGAGTTACTGCACTGTCTTGCAGGTACTTTACAACAAAGTAAAGAAATAAACCAAACCAACCAAAAGAAACCCCACAAACCATAAAGGTCAAAATAACTCTAGTGAATACTATTCATTTCAGCAGGGCTAGGCCCGAGATGAATTTGTATCTCATTTGCAATCAGCATTAAAATAGCAAGTGTGTTGGCAGAAGCACGTGGAGCTACTGAATGGCTTGTCTGTATGCACCATCACGCCTTGATGCTGGTGCTATCAATTCCTCACTTCTAGAGGTACTAAATTTAGGCCAGCTAGTCTAAAAATTAAGGGCTCAGACAAACAACTACTTGCATCCACATTTTTAATTCATCACAGAGTTTCTGCAGTTGGGGGAATGGAACACCAGCCAACCACCGCGAGTTATTGCCTGTGATTTAATGCCAGAAAAATGTTCAGAAGACACTTGAAGGACAGTAAAAGGAAAGGCACTTCTTAAGGAACTGATTAAAAACAAACAAAACCAATAAAACGTAAAACCCCTAGCTACAATTTTTATCTACTGCTCTTCCTCTTGATGTATCAACTCCTCTGAGCAAGCACGTCAAGCATCTCTATGTGGGAAGGATGCCATGCAAGGGACAGACTTGTGTCCGAGCAGTTTTTAACGCAGTCAGCAGCCCCTCAGAACTGCTGGTGGTGTTTTTCCTGCTTTGCCCTTCTGCTCGTGGCAGTTCGTAGGCTCCAGCCTATCCGTACAAGTAGAACAAAGAAACCACCATTGCATGGTTACCTGCAAACTGCTGTTCACTAAGACAGTGCCTTTAAGGAGTGGAGTCATGCAGATCAGACAACATAGGAGCCTTAAAACAACCTGATCCACAGACATGGCACAAATCCGAGACAAAATGACAATACAACAAAAGGGTAAGAAGTTCTGGCTCTAATAAGCTTAATACTTTAAACACCCTTCTCTTCATTTGTTTCTTGCAACGTTTGGGGAATTCAGTTCCTTCAAAGCAACTACGCGAGTCCCACTGCACACACTGCGACGCCACAGGCGTCCTCTTCTGAGGAAGCATTCAAGCAGAGGTGTCTTTCAAAGAGTTACTCGACCTGTGACTGGGGCCTTAATCAAACTGACCTTTTAATCACCAGGCAAAACCGCCCTCGCCAAAACTCTCGCAGAAGTACACAAAAGCAACACGGGGGATGTTTGTACCGATGCTAATCCAACCGTCTAAGCACGCTCATGCAGGAAGGATTCACAGGGTGAAGGGTCAGCAGATCTCAAAGCCAAAAGGGAGGATTCGGGCTGCGTAAATCAAGTTCCCAAAGGAAAAGAAAATAAAAATGCCCCTGGGAGAACTGCTGTTAAAGAGTGGCAGTTTGACTGCTTGGAAATGGAAAAATCAGTGAGCTGCTAAGACTGCTCAGTGCACTTCTGTCCAAAGCTGGTGTCTGATAGATTTGCAATCAAGCCTGTCAGAGGGACACAGATGAAGAAAAAGTAGGAAAGCAAACTTAAGGTACCAGTGGAAGACAGAAGAAAAGGAAAGCTGAACTACAAACAGAATCCAAATGCTGATGGTAGCTGTAATGCAAGTGATGCAGCTGGGCACTGGGCCATGGTCCCAGGGTTTTGGGCCAGTTCTGGTCCATAAGTTGCAGACCACTAAAATATTCTGTTGCAGGACAAGTTCATTGGGTCAACTTGTAGCTGGATAAAGCACTTACTGATACTTAAACAACCTCATTTATAGTCACACGCAGGTAAGACTTCTATGAAGTCATTCAATAAATAAGTTAGAAGCAGCATCAGTTCTCATCATTCTGCTTAAAAATTAAATCATTCTGGTCTCTTTCATCTTGTTGACAGACACCCCGCTCTGCTCCTCCACTCTCAACCTCTGCTGTTAGAAATGACAAAGGTTTCTGCCTTGCTCCTGCAATATGGGCTGTCTTTCCTTAAAGAAAGGGAGTTTCAGAAACTAATTAAATTTGTTATGGCTTTACATCCCACATAAAAAGGCACAAACATTCTAACTACACTGTACGTTGTTAGAGGATTCAGAAAGGACATATTGAGCCAGCAATGTGCCCTTGAGCCAAGAAGGCCAACGCCATCCTGGGCTGGATGAGAAGGGGTGGTTGTAGGGCAGAGAGGTTCTCCTGCCCCTGTGCTCTGCCCTGCTCACACCACAGCTGCAATCTTGTGTCCAGTGCTGGGCTCTCAGCTCCACAAGGACAGGAACTGCTTGAAAGAGTCCAGCAGGGCCACAAAGTGATGGAGGGAGTGGAGCATCTCCTGCTGAGGAGCGGCTGAGGGAGCTGGGGCTCTTGAGCTTGGAGCAGAGGAGACTGAGGGGTGCCCTCATTCCTGGGGATCAATTTGGAAAGGATGAGTGTCAGGAGGCAGGAGCCAGGCTCTGCTCTGGGATGTCCAATGCCAGGACAAGGGGCAATGGTCCCAAGCTGGAGCACAGGAGGTTCAAGCTGAAGATGAGGACAAACTTTGTCAGTGTGAGGGTCCAGAGCATGGCCCAGGCTGCCCAGAGAGGTTGTGGAGTCTCCTTGTCTGCAGACACCCAAAGCCCTGGTCGTGTTCCTGTGTGACTGCTCTGGTGATCCTGCTCTGGCAGGGGTTGGACTGGGGGAGCTTTCCAGGGCCCTTCAACTCCTCATATCCTGTGAGTCTGTGTGATTCTGCGATATTGTGGAAGGTATTAAGAGTCCTGCTTCCTCTGGAAGCCACAGAAAGGTGTGTTGAATTGATTCAATGCAAAAGTGTGTACAGAAGTTACAGAATGGCTCCTAAGACAGTACTTGGGCCCAAGTCAGCTAGGTCAGGCTAGGCTAAGGCTCAACAATACTCTTCAGAGAGATTCTTATTAAATTTTAGCCCAAAGTATCAGAAGTCTTAGAAAATTACACGTTACAGCTGTGACCAAACTCTCCTGAGAAGGACTGCTTGCATGACACACCAGTTACAGCCAGAACGAAACTGGAAAAAAATGCCTTTTTCAAGGTACAAATCCAGGACATCCTGATTTTATCCCTTCTCTCTAAAACCTTTAAAATTGACATGGAGTTGAAATGCACAATTAATGCCAGCAAATGAGACACAGCACTTCACACAGCAGAGAGATGGGAAGGCAAGATGGGAGTGGAAAGCAATGACAGGGAGCAAAACAAAGCATTTCTTCCTGAAACAGGGAAAGAATGCGTTTTCTGATAATTCATCTTACCTTGATAATCTTTTCAACGCCAGAAGAACAGATCATGTAAGTGTGAGGGTTAAACCGGACTTGGTTCACAATTGAACGATGACCTTTCAATACCATAAAAGCACCATTGACGACCCTGCCAATGCCACCTAGGGGAAAACAAGCACACACCAAAGTGAATAATTAAATCTTCATATTGCTTTCATTTAAAGCCATTTCAAAGCAATTTTAAAATGAATTTTCCTTTAAAGTTGGATTATATTTGACAATGTGCTCCATCTTTATTTTCCAACATTTTAAGGCCTGTTTTGGCTGCGGAATTCCAATTTTATGAGCAATGACCCTAAGAAAAGCTCCGAGTTTGATGAAAAGCATCCTTCCCGCAAATTAGGACTGGGAGGCCAGCTTTAGTTCAACCATCTAAACAAACAACAAAGGTTTTTGACCTAATATGACAAGTATGTGAATAAGAACAACATGCACACTTGATGAAATCACCAGTGAAACCATAGTGCCTAAGGCATGACACTACTCACAGTTGGTAAATTTGAAGCAGAGACAAATAAAGAGGTTGACTTTTCTAACAGCTCTACTTTTCCCTCCCCTTTTTTTTTAAATTTGGTTTTTAAACCAGCAATTCATCACTGTCACAGTTGACTCCAGCCTGATGGGCAGAGATCTAAAGGAGGCGATCTTCAAGGCCAGGCTGGACAGGGCTTTGGGCAGCCTGGGCTGGTGGAGGTGTCCCTGCCCATGGCAGGGGTTGGCCTGGATGAGCTTTAAGGTCCCTTCCAACCCAAACCATCCTGAGATTTTATGATTCTATGAAGGAATTCCAAAGGTTTCTGCTTTAATATTGAAGTACCATAAATTCCTTTCAAGCTGTTAACAGTAAAATCAGAAGTATAGTACTAGAAGGTACTTCACTCCTCTCAGAGTGAAGGTGAACTTCCCCATGTGCTTAAGTGATGTCTCTAAGTAAGCAGTTCATACAGAGCCTTTTACACCCTTACCCTGACAGCGGCCAGGTAACCATGCATGTAGTAATTTCTATTTGTGTCTCTTCACTTGAACTGGTATTTTTATTTGTATTGTTTCAGCAGAATTGATCTCTGCTATCCCAACAATACCCAAATTTTGCCTCTGAGGTTTGGGAACAGGAGTGTTGTTTGTTTGCTTTTGAATTGAGTGGCATACGCAGGTCCCACAACTGTTTTAGCACGGCAGCTTTTGTATTCTCAGGTAGTTTCCATTTGTATGAGCAGTGTTTATACAGAAGCTGTTAGGTTACGTACATCTTATTAATAATAAAAATTTTAAAAGTCTTCAGAGGCTGATTATGCCAGTTTTAGAAGGAAGCTCTAACTACTGGAGGGAAGGGATGGAGATATACTTGCTAGTTCTGCAATACTTTCAAAAGATCACTGTGCTTAAAGACAGTTCTGAGTAGTGGTTTAGTGTTCTGGCTGTGCTGGTTGACTTTTTTTTGGTCTGCTTTTACTTGATACGCAAAGTGAAATGTCAAGAAAACCCCTCTGCCTCCACACCCTGCAAATAAGTGCTCCAAAGAGAGGCAATACAAAGTCTCAGACAATTCTTTAAATCATATCCTACTACAATCTAACCTGCTGGAAGAAATAACTTACAAAGGGCTACATCTGCAGTGTACGTTTTAAAACGGATCCCCTCTACACACATTTGACAAGAACACCATGGCAACACAAGGCCTACCTGCAGCCTCTGATAGACAGAAGGATGGGATAATACAGTGCTTTGAAGTAGCAGACGTCTGCTAAGTTGCCAAAGTGATTACTTCTTGGTTTGCTTTATTGTTTATGTTTTAAATATTATGCTAATGAAGTCCTTGTTAATGATGCAGGTTTGTAAGTGTTTATGCAAATGAGCTGACATTTCACATATTGAGAACACGCTGGATGGTACCAACACATTTTAGAAGACGTGAGTAAACCGTAACGAAGGAGAGTGAGGTATCTGGACAGCAACCTGACTTCTCCCGCACAAGTTCCACAACACACAGCAGTGTTCACAAAAAAACACGACCAGAAAAACCCAGAAGAATGAATTATTTGAAGGATAAGAAAAAGAAAGTGATTGATTATTTGGAAGAGTGCCCTTGTGCAGAAATCCTGTAAGAATGTGAAACAGTCTCTAAACTAATGGAAGATGCGTTGCTCCAAACGTTTATAAAAACCTGTCAAAGCACTTGCTGGGATAAGGAGCAACCCTCACAGGCTCTGTAGCAGAGGAATTAAATGACCTCATTAAGTAGTCCTTTCTATCTAGGACACTGCAAAAGAAGTCCCACTGGTTGTTCATATAAGGTAGAAAGATGTTCCACAGTGTAAAGCATAACTTCACACAAGCCTTGTGAATTACTCAAAGGGCTGAAAACTCCTGAGAAGAAGCAGAGATGTGCAGCTGCTGCCAGCATGCCATAGCACAGCATTCCACTGTAGTACTTGGCACTGCAGGAGAAAACTCATCTAAATTTAATTTCGTTTTCATTAATAATAACCCAGGACACATTCAGATCACAGGCCTCTGCCCTGCGTTTGAATCCTGGGAGGTCGTGGTGCAGTAGCGGGAGACACCAGAGTTTGGAAAGCAAACGAACAGCACAACGCAAGCAAATGCACACAGCGCATGGGGCCTCTGCCTTCAGTGCTGCAGATTTAAAAGTCTCTGGTCGCACACACCTGTATTTTTTTGTACAACGCATGCCAGCAGATGGCTTTGTGCTTCAGAGACCTGTAGAGAAGGTAGATTTAAACACGAGCACTCCTGCCTCAGAACACAGTCCCTGCTGCGTCCCCTTTAGCGCCGTCAGGAAGCTGACTCCAGCTTCTGACTCTTGAAGGTTTCTCAGCAGCACAGGCAGGACTGACCTTGGTCACATCAAATACGGGATGAGAACAGCAAGGGCTGGCCAAGATCCTTTCTCCTCCTGCATAAGCACAGGGAGCAGTGGGCTGGTGTCGGTGCTTGCCCGGCTCTGCCAGGCAGTCACCCACTTCAGCTAGCCTGGCCTAACACCAGCCCCGTGGTGCTCTTGTACCTCTGCAGGGGCTCTTCCAAAAGCCAAAGAAAAATAAAATCCATATTTAAACATCCAAAGAGTATGCAGAAAGCTGTAGTGGCAGTGGCTATTTCTGGATGTCTGTTTTCTTTTGTCGCTACTAAGTATCTGCCGTATCTATCTATGCCTTATCTACACTAACCCTCCCACTGTTCTTATCACCAGTGGAGCTGAACAACAATATGAAAGCTAAGACAAAATTACTATAGAAATAAGCTTGGGCACACCCTTTCCACTCTGTTCCCTCTCCTGGTCAGAGAGATGCTCCTTTGGTGTGTTCAGCTGCACACACCACGACGGTTTTTACACCGTTATTGGAAACGTGCAAATTACCAAGAACAACCATGATTTCTGAACACAAAGGAAATAAAATAAGTGAAGTTATCACACAGCTGACAGCTGGTTTTTGGTTGGTCGGTTGTTTTTTTTAAACGTGAAAACTGCTCACCCGTGCATTTATTTTGCACCGGTAGCTGCAGACACGTTCAACACAATAAAAAGGAAGCAGCTTTGGCACAAAGGGACTAAGGCTTCTCCAGCCTCTCCCAGGTCTCAGTGTCATCTTCAGCTTTCTAGCGTTAAATTAGATATTAAATATGCTAAGACCAGTGAGAAATGCTCATGGATGCTGAATCTTCTTCCACTTGGCTACGGCACTACAAAAGCCAACCATTCCATAGCACACTGTGGTCAACACTGACCTGATGGAAAAGATAAACTACAACCCTAAACCAGTTTAGATCTCAGAAGAATCAGTTTTTAAAAGAATACAAACCTTCCGGAGCAAGCTGCCCATTGGGCCAGATGGGTTCCCTCCACCCAGACCCAACTGATATGTATATATGCACATACATAAAAATCTCCAAAACAGTCCGACATTAAGAAACACTTAATCATCTATTATTCATCTTCATTTCTCAGCCTAGAATTTTGAGAACTTAAGCCACAAGCTGTCTCCAATGAGAGAACCCTGTTCAAATGTTGTGAAAAGATCTGCTGCTGAATTCTTCAGGCTTAAAGAGGTGTCTGCATCGACAATGACGAATGAGGAGGGGAAAAAAAGAGGGAAGAAAAATTGCATCAGTCCTGCTG